CCAGGTCTCAGTTCCCAGCATCCACATGGCAGCTAATGACCGTCTGTAACTCTAGTTCCAGGGGATCTTTCTGGCCTCCAAGGGCATTGCATGACACGGGTGCACTTAGATACATGCAGACAAAACACTCATATGTAAAGTAAAAGTACATAAGTAAATTTTTTTTAAGATTTATTACCAGACTCAGAAATTCAGCAAGAGCAGTACGTGCTCTTAACAGCTGAGTTGTCTCTCCAGCCCCACAAGGAATTGTTAATGACACAGAGACTACAATGCTAGGTGAACAAGATACGAAACTCCACCAGTGTGACCTGATCCACATTTTACCTAAAATGTGTGTAGTAATAGCACAGCCTATGCTGTGGCGTTAGGGGTTCTTGCTGTGTGCGTGCATGCGTGTGTGCATGATTGAAAGTGCTATTCTGGACAGTTGAGCATTCTAGTATATATGATACACATGCATGTATGTATACTGAGATGAAATTATGCTACTAAGCAAGAAGGACCACACTAACAAAAGTAGCAAGGTGATGATGACTGGCCTAAGTAGTGATGGTGTTAAGTTTTCCGATGGTAAAATTAATAGTTTCTTTGAGAACATATAGAAAAAACCTGTGCAAAACCTTAAAGCGCGCCAGAATACGACCCATCCTGCTGTAAATGCCTTTGGTGTGCTCAAACCGCATTCCTGGAAGGAGGTCTTACTGTGCGTCCCCATTCGCAGAGGCATGAAGAGACTGAGCTGAGCAGTTTGTTCAGGATCCGACAGCTCGTGAGAGGATGCACTTGAACTCAGGCAGCCTGGATCTGGCATCCAGGCTGGTGACCGCTACCGGTACCACTACAGAGCAGAGCGGTGGTGTTCGTGCTGTTCATCTTGTCAGCTGCCATGCCATCACTGCCCATGCCAGGCCGCTGGCCTAACCAGGCTGGGCTCACTGCTGCTTCACCCTTGCCCTAGTGCTGTGGCTGGGAAGGACTTTGACCTTGCCCAGGAGCCTGGGGAAGGGATTTTCTTAGCGTGGCTACTGGCTGCTGGTCTTGGTGCTCTTTTAGACTTGTGGTTGGGTCCGGGTGAGGCCTGGAAACAGCTTCTTTTCCTTATTTTGCTGAGAATATCAGTCAACCTCCTCCCTGAGGCTCTCAGCCCAGACCACCAGGCATCTCTGTAGGTTTGTAATCATGCATGAAGGTTTTAGACTCTGCAAACTTTAGGGGAGAATCCAAGCATGGGAAGGCAGTGAGATATCTGGGTACCATCCTCAGCTTTGTCCCACTGAGGCCCTCATGGCCCAACTGTTCTGTCATGCGTCCAAAATGCTTCTGACCAGAAATTTTCTTATTTGGGATATTTTTAGATTTTGGAGTATTTGCATATATTGGATACACACGCTCTCAGGCACACACACACACACACACACACACACACACACACACACAGGATACACATTACCTTAGCTGCAGGAAGTTTAAAACCAGCTTATACTATATGAGACTCTATCGAAAACAACAATAGTAATAATTTTATGTACAAAACAAAGTTTCATTGTGTAGAACGTTCTACTTGTATCACATCAGTACTCAAAAAGTTAATGATTTTGGTGCATTCTGAGTTTTCTTTTCATTTTTTCTTAATAAGTTTCTCTCTCTGTTTATATAGTGCTGAGGGATTGAGCCCAGGGCCTTGTGCATGCTACGCAAACATTGTACCAACTGAGCCACATCCCCAGCACCTTGAGTCTTTTTTATTAGGGATGTTCTGCCTGTATGTTTCTTCCTTCCTTCCTTCCTTCCTTCCTTCCTCTTCCTTCCTTCCTTCCTTTCTTTCTTTCTTTCTTTCTTTCTTTCTTTCTTTCTTTCTTTCTTTCTTTCTTTCTTTCTACCTCCTTGACTATTTGAATTTTTTTTATTTTAGAATTAGATTTGATTTGGTTCTAGCAGGCCTGGGAACCCAGGTCCTCATGTATGCTAAGCAAACCCAGTTTAATCAAGCCACACATTCTCAGCCTCGTCCAGCCTGTTGTAATCATTTCTTTAACAAACCTGATTTTCATAACCAGGATTTCAAAATGTATTTCATGTTTGTTTTAATGTAATTTTACTCTCACGACAAAATTTCTAGTTTCTTCAAAATCTGTGTATGGCAAAGAGCTTTCAATGATTCAAGTTAGAGCCATTCCATGTCTGTATCAAAAAGAAATACAGCCAGGTGTGGTGGCACACACCTTTAGTTCCAGCATTAGAGGCAGAGGCAGGCAGATCTGTGTGAGATTGAGGTCAGCCTGGTTTACATAGTGAGTTCCAGCTGGAGGGCTGCTGCAAACCTGGGGGGGGGCACATGGTGGTGGGTGGGGACACAACACTGAACTTGCTGTACGTTGCTGAGGGCTGTACCAGTTTGCTTCATTGCTTGTTTTTTCACATTAATTAAATAGTGGGAGACTGTTGCATTCCTCCACCAGGAGATAGTGGCACAAGACTCCTTCCTTCCTTCCTTCCTTCCTTCCTTCCTTCCTTCCTTCCTTCCTTCCTTCCTTCCTTCCTTCCTTCCCTCCCTCCCTCCCTCCCTCCTTCCTTCCTTCCTTCCTTCCTGTCTTTCTTAAATTTTATTTTTAAATGTTTGTTCATTTTTCTGTATGTGCACTCACTCACACATACCATGGTGCATACATGTCAGGGTGCTCATGTGGAGCTCAGAGAACTTGTGGGAGTTGGTTCTCTCTGTAATGTGGATCCTGTGGGATCAAACCTGGGTCCTCAGGAGGCACATACTTTACCTGTTAAGCCATCTTGCCGGCTCCCACATTTCTTTTTCAGGTGTGGGAGAATCTTTGAAGTTTGTTATTTGACAAGGCTGAGTTGTAGACACTTCCTTGTGAATGCTGTTATGTTTAAAGTGAAACAAACCTGAAGTTTGGCCTTGCTGTTATAGTTCAGAAAACCCATGTTTCTCTCGAACAAATGTGTAACCCTCCCTCCCCATTACACACTCTGGAGGGAGAGTGATCAGAGAAGAAGTTGTGTTGAAAAACTAAATTCTTGCTCAAATGTAAAAGAAGTAAGGTACACACGGGTGTCATTAGAATTAAGGCAGGACGTTTCAGAAGAGGAAAGGGATAGAAGGGGGGAGAAGAGGGAAAGAGAAGGGAAGGCCTGATGTGTCTTGAATTGTGTATTGCTGCCTCTCTGGAAGGAGAATGAAGGTCTTTTGGGTTGACAACAGAAGACTTGTTCTGCAGCCTGGCCGGGTAGGTTCCCTAAGCTAGAGCAGAGCTATAAAACGAAGGGTTTTCATCCTCCAGGGAAGCGGGCTCATGCCTCAGAAACTACAGCTTCTGCCTACAGGCCCTGGGGACAGGCTGGACCAGCCAGGGGCCCTGGAGCCAAGATATCTGCTGGGCAGCATCACTGTGGAGCTGTTAGAAGTACAAAATCAACCTCCTCACCCTACGTGCCGAACCCACTGAATGGTGGCAGGTCTCTTGCTTTGCCTGTGGCTTGTGTGACTGCCCAAGAGAGCAATATGCTCCTAAGCCAAGGAGAATTGAGGATGGGGTAGACTGAGAAAGACTGCTCAATTCCAGAATAGGTCCTTTCAATACAGAATCCTATGCTTAAGAGTTGATTCTTGCTTTACAGAGACAACTTCCTTTGTAAAGGAAGGTTTTGGTTCCTTGTCTGTACTAGTGTAGTCATTTAGTCATTGGAGGGGACTGAGGAATTTTACTGTCCCATTAGTAACAACCCCTGCGAGTACTTGGTAATCCCCTGAGTTCAGGGACCACCCAGCTGTCTTCTTCATGAAAGCACATAGCAAAGCTGGTTTCTGGGGTCGTGGCTATTCTCTTAGGGACTCAAGAAGTCACCAGAAATGGAGCCACAAGTGTGTAGTCTTGGCCATTTTGTAAGGCCCAGGATTGAGTAGGAGCTGGGAGCCAGGCTGTGTGTGACACCCTGACCCATATTTGCCCAAGGCTGATATTGCCCAATCATTTGTTGGGCACCAATAATGTCTTCGGCCCTGCCCCTAATGGGAGACATGCAGTCTCTACCTGGAGGGCTCAGATTGAGAGTTTCATAAGCTTTGTTTTAAAGTAGGTGACTAAAATGCTAGTCTGGCTTTTAGCAGCTGTAATGAATGAACCCTTAAGGCATGAGCCTCATGGGTGAATCATGGTTGGTGGCTTTTAGATAGATGCTGTCCCTGGGTTTTCAGTGTTAGTAAAGTTCTCTTTGTGTGTGTGTGCGTGTTTTTCACTTTTACTTTGACAGTCTATAGAACTCGGTGGGAAATACATTCGTATTTGGATACTTCTGAATTTATTTTAACCAAATAGTAGTATCTCTACCCAAGTTAATCTATAAACAGTTGCCTAAGCTTTCAGTGTGATCACTGTTAGCTTCAGAAATAACTTAGAAGCATTTATGGCATGTTTTACATTTTTGTACTATTTTTCATTTGTAGGTCTTAGAATTGAATGCTCTCTACTATCTACACTGAGAACCATTATTTTGTATGAAATCAGTTACTGTTCATGAAAATGAGGAGCCTCTGTGGGGGGCAGTCCATGCTGCTCTGTGGGGTACCTGCAGCAGAGCAGTGGCTGTCCCCCTTAAGGAGAAAGCACCAGTCAGTCTGGGCTGAGGAAGAAGGTAATCTAGGTAGCTGTTGAGTGTCCACCCTCAGCGTTGTGTGGTGGCAGCTAAGGGACCTGTATGGCTTTTGCACCACACCGTACCTCATAGACTCCCCCTGTTGTGCAAGAGTACCCCCTGGCCTCCACCTTGGGATGTTGGGGAATATCTTACTACAGAAATATTTCTCTGTAATGCTAAAATGATTCAGTTAGGTTTCCGTTTTGTGTAGTGTTGTATTGTTTTCAGAGATAGTTCTTAAAGAGCCATCTGTGAAATTTTTCCTCAGTGTGATTTTGGGGTGAACAGCACAGGACAGCTAGGACTCTACGGTAGATATCCTAAAAAGTGCTTTTCATGCCCAGGACTTCTCAAACCGCAGAGGGCTCTGAACATGAAGAATAACGGAAAAGCCCGAACCTGAAGCTTCTTCCTCAGACCTGTGAGTTCTCTCCCTCTGTGAAGTGGGAACCGTGCTGGAACGATGAAGATGGCAGATACTTGACAAACACCAGCTTACTGGGTTTGTAGCATGCTTCTGGGTCTCAAACAGTCAGAAGTGACCTTATACTTTCTTTTAGAGGGAGACATTCTTTTAAGTGTATACATAGATAAATGAGAAAAGTGAGGCCTGAACCAGTGCCCCTGAGAGACAGAATGAGTCATCTGGCCCTAACCCAGCAGGATGCCTGTTGGAGTAGGAAGGCTCCTTCATTCAGTTTGGTGAAGACCTGATATTGAAGGCTGGTTGCTTTTAAATGTATAATGCTCACTTTTTGTCATAGGCACAATCCATTGACATTTAATTGCTGGAAAAATCAACTTTGCCTAAACGGTTAGGAAGCTATTTGGAATCTGCAATGTTTTTCTTACTCTTAAAAAATAGAATGAAGGGGCCTGGAGTTCCGTGGTTAAAAGCACTGGCTGCTCTTGCAGAGGACCCAGGTTCGAGTCCCAGCACCCACATGGTAGCTAATAGCCATCCGGTAGCTCCAGTTTCAGGGGATCCCACACTCTCTCTTGCCAAATTAATGAATAAAATTATTTTTAAAGAATAGAATGAAATAAGTCTGGTGTGGTGACCCAGACCTATAGTCCTAGCACTTGTGAGGAGGAACAGGAGGATTTGCTGCAAATGTGAAGCCAGCCGATAAGCGGCCTGTTCTGCTTACCAAGTTCCAGGCCAGCCATGGCTATGCAGTGAGACCCTGTAGACAGGTAATAATAGGCAGGTCTCTGCATTGAGGGGGAGTGATCATCTGAACTTTTCTGCTTCCTCACTGCCTCTTCTCAGAACAGACATTTCCCTGCAAAGATCACCCATTGCCAGGAAGGGGAGAGCTTAATAAAGTTCGCAGGCTCGTCCTGCTGTTTTGTGGCAGAGGGGAGGGAATCTAGCATTAGCTCACACTCTTCTCCCTGGGGTCTGCCTGACCTCACAGGAGGAAGGGCAGAAGGCAATGCTGACTCCTCATTCCCCTCTCTACACCGCTGTGTGGGCCTGGCCACCTGTGCAGCCACTGCCAAGAGTCAACACTGTGCTCTTTGTCTGGCAGCAGGCTTCGTAAAGGTGGCTGCGGGAGGCGTTCCCCTTCCAGGCCTCCACTACTCCAGCAGACAGGACCTCGCCTCCTTGGTGAAAGGAAAACCTCAGGTTCATATTGTCCCTTTCAAGTGTTACCTGAGCCACTACTCCAGCAGACAGGACCTCGCCTCCTTGGTGAAAGGAAAACCTCAGATATTTTCCCTTTCAAGTGTTACCTGACAAGATTATAGGAGACTCCACAAGTAACAGAGGTGGAGGCAAAATTCCTACTGACTACTAAGTAAAAATTACTGCAAACCTACCATGCACCTGGACGTTTTAGACAGGCAGAGGCAAGAGGCACTGGGGCATTTGGTCTAATGAGACTGGGCGGGGGGGGGGGGGACAGTTAATCAAGGCCGGAGAACTCAGGGGAGAAGCCCCAAGGTGGGGGACTTGAGGGGGGCACCTGAGAGCTCGGGGTCTACCTGTGCTGTCACATTTGGCCTCACACCTGGTCTAATGCTCTACCGTTGTGATCTTGAAAGTCTTATTTATTGTGCTGAGACTCAAACCCTGAGCCTTACATATGCTGTGTCAGCACTTGCCCAGTGAGCTGTACCCCCAGCTCCTGAAATTCTATGTGAACCAAGGGTGGCCCCACAAAATATTTTCTTTTTGCCTTAGTCCTGCAAATCATGCAGTTGGTCCTGCATGTCAAGATGAGGTATAAAGTGGTTGTGTAAGATTTTAAAGAACTCTGTCTGTCATGCTCAAAACCATTTGGCTTTACTCTGTAGAGAACCGTGGAAGGTTCTGTGATGGGGTATAAGACCAATGGGACTAGGAAGACTGCTGGTCTACCGAGAGCAGCTGAGGACATCATGCTGTGACATGGGCAGATACCAATCACTGCAGTTCCCAGGCCTGCTGAAGACAGTCTGCTCTGACATAGGGATGGAAGGGAGAGAGGCTACTGTAGAGGGCCGGGGTCCTGACTAGGCCTGAGATCCTATACCCCAACAGGGCTGCTGGGGAAAGAAATCTTGTGTTGGTGATGGTGAGGCAGGTGCTTTGCGTGAGCAGGGCAAGAAAGACCCGGAAATCTCTGGAGGGGCAGCTTATGGAAACAGGCCACAGCTGCTCAGCAGATGACCTGCAGATCAAGGTTTTTGTCAGCATCGAGAGCTTCACTAGAACAAATATTCATCCAAAAATAAACTTCCTGTTCTTCCTGTTTTTGTAACTTGCCTATTTCCTCTGACTTTGAGGCTGGTCTCCAGTTCCTGGGTTATTAGTCTTCAGAAGATCAGGACCTCTATAGAAGTATTTCCTGTACATGTTTATCTACCCAGCCCTAAATTATTTTCTCCAAATGATAAGAGAACTTTTCCATCCTGGTGTGTCTGACTTTTCCTCAGAGAGATTTTCAATTGGGACTCACAGGGACAAAGGCCAAATCAGAAAGGCCAAGCCCAGGTTGTGGTGGAGTGTCTTTCTGTGGCTAGTGTTTTACTTTTTTACATTTATTTATTTGTTAGTTTAGTTTATTGTGTGTATGTACACACATACATGCCACAGCATGTATATGGAGGTCAGAGGATAACTTTCTCTTGAGCCTTGAAGTCTTTCAAGTATGAGACCACTCTGGGCAACATAGGAAGACTCTTTCTCAAAAGCCAACAATAAAGGGCTGGAGAGATGGCTCAAGGATTTAGAACACTGATTCCTCTTGCAGAGGACCTGAGTTTGAATCCCAGCACCCACATGAAGGCTAACAACGTCTGTAACACCAGTTCCAGGGGATCCGATGCCTTCTGTCCTCCGTGGACGTTGCACGACACAGATGCACTTGCATACATGCATGCAATACACAAATACACATAAAATAAAAATAATTAAAAAAAATACTGTCAATAAAAGACTGAGAGGCTTTGAAAGGGCCGTGGTGTAACTTACAGATAGAGCACTGATCTAGCACTGGATTTGATTCCCAGCACCACAAAAATAAATAAATGAATGAATGAATAAATAAATAAATAAATAAATAAATAAATAAATAAATAAAAGCTGAGTTTGTGAGAGGCACTAGTTCTCTGGTGTACTACCACCGACTAGGCAGTTCAAAAGCAGCCCAGCTGGGCTCAGTTAGGGTAGAGGACAGGCCTGTCTCCAGGGAGAGTCATAAGGACAAGTTTAAGGGTTGTACTTTCAAGTTCATGTAGGAGAGTGGGGTGACCAAGCTGCCTTTGGATTCTTTCCTGTAAGTAGAATAAGATGCCATGTTCAAGCTATCTTGAAGGATATGGCTGTGGAAAGGGCATGGGGCTTTGGCTGGGACAGGTTCTGGCTTTTCTGCCACTGCACTGATTCAGCCCTGGTCTCATGCCTCTCCTCTGTAAAAGGGGAGCACGATTACACTTAAGGGCTGTTGTGAGGGATGGTCACTTAACATACAGAAGGAGCCTCGACAGATGCAAACTCTCCATCTCTCCCAAAATCCTGAGAATGACTCTAGACTTAACCACAAGAAAGTGGGCAGAGGCTCACAGTTGTACATCAAAATACGTACACAGAAAAATCTTCCCAGTCCCCTGTGAAGTGAGGCTCACACGCCTAAGAAAACTGCTGGTTCCTCTCTGTTTGAATAAGGCCAGCCGTTAGGCCGCAGGAACAAATTTGCCTGCTGCTTACAATCCTTAGCCAGTTAAAACAGGACTTTATCTGTAGCCTGAATAGACTGTGGTCTCTGCAATATGCAGAGACTTAATGCTGTTGTTAGCAAGAAGGGATATGATAGCTTGTGGGATGTAGATAGAAAGTAGACCCCAATTCTGCCTTTAATCAACCCCTTAGTTTGTACCAGAGCGTGCTAGTGTTATCCTTGACTATCCTAGTAATTCAGGAAAACTGGACCAGACCCCAGATCTGGGGTCCTGCCTGGAGAGGCAGGCCAACCAGGACCCAAGATGGCTTGTGTCCAGCTGCCACTGTCCCCTCACATCTTACCCCCTGCTTCTTCCTGAGCAGCTTTGACAGGTTCTCATAGCACTAATTCTTAAAATTTGTGGTGCATTAGAATTACCCGGAAAGCTTTGAAAAAATCCAGAAATTCAGGCTGCATCCCAAACAAATTAGACACTGCTAAAAGAACAGAAACCTTACGTGTGACCCAACGGGCAGCCAAGTTTGAGAACTGGTGTCTTTGTTGGCAGAGAAAAGTCTGGTGTTATTACAAAGTGTGGCATTAACTCTGTCGTTTATGGATTGTCCAGGGCAGTGTCATCCCACTGGGCTTACCTGGTCAGTATGAGGTCTTGGGGGTAGATAGCCATTGTGACAGCATTTTTTCTTAACATGAAATGTTTGTTGTCATTTTTCAAATTTTATGTATATGAGTGTATTGCCTGCATGATTGTAAGTATACCTGTGACGTGCAATGCCTGAGGTGATCAGAAGAAGGCATCGGATCCCCTGGAACTGGAGTTACAGATGGTTGTTAGCCCCACTATGTGGGTGCTGGGAATTGAACCAGGATCCTCTGGAAGAGCATCCAGTACTCTTAACTACTGAGCCATCTCTCCAGGCCCATATGAAGTATTTTAAATACTCATAGATGAGTAGTGTAATGCTCTGCCCTGTATGTACTCTGGTTAGCTCAGCCATCTCTGCCCACAACATACACTTTTCACTGGGGGAGGGGCAAGCTAGAACATTTTAAAGCAAAGTCTCAAAATTTCATACATAAATACTTCTGTATATATCACTAAGAGGTAAGGACTTAAAACAAGAACCACCATACCATTATCATCCTAGAAAAGATTCTTTCTTCCCCTCCCCTTCCCCTCCCCCTCTCCTCCTCCTCCTCCTCCTCCTCCCTCTTCTTCTTCTTTCTGAGACAGTCTTCCTGTGGTCCC